CCTGGCTCAGGCCTGGCCATTGCAGCCATTTGGGGAGTGAACCAGCAAATGGAAGTTCTCTCTCTCTCTCTCTCAAAGAAAAGATGACAATAACCAATCTAGAGCTCCGGGGAGTGCTGGCCAGGCAGTCCGCTATTGACCTATGCATCTCCCACAAACCTCTGAGGACCCCCAGGAGAGCTGAGCCCCCAGGGTGGGCCCTGGATACAGGTGCTCAGTGTGAGCCAAACCATCTCTGGGCCCCAAATCTCCCCCTCCTGGCTCCTGGGGTGGACAGCCCACAGCCAGGCTGTCTCTGAGCATTTCCCCAGGTCTTTTCAAACGGACAGTGCTGTGTGTCCTGTGGGAACACCCCAGGCTCCCTTGGCCTGCAGGTGGGGACGACTCTCCTGCAAGGCCACAGAGGTGACTACAGAATGAAGGCCCAGGCCCCAGCCAGGACTTTGCCTTTGTCTGCGGTGGGTTTCAGGTGCCATGCTCCCCCTCTGCCTCCTTCATGGAGACAAACACACCTGTCTCCCCCAGGAGGCGGTGGTGGGGTGCAGCTGGATTCCAGGGGCGGGAGCAGAGCAGTGAGGGCCTGGGCAGCCTGCCTCGCGGCAGCCCCAGAGCCAAGACGCCCGGAGCCAGTGCCTACTCGCTTCCCAACAAGTTCGGGGCTCCAAGTTCAGGTAATTAGGTCTTTGGCAATCTCACCTGAGCCCGCCAATAAAGCTGAGACAAACACGCTCAGCCCCTCTTTTGGGGGGAGAGAGGAAGCGAGAGGGGGAGGGGCAGAGAAACTGTTTTCTGAGCCCCAAATCAAGGCCTGGCGAGCAGGAGGCAGAACGCTGTTAGTGTGCAAAGCGGCCTCTCCAAACACAGCACCTCCACAGCACACCCAGGGCTTCCTCCTTCTGCCACAGAACTGGGCGGCCGCCTGTCGCCACCACCACCACTGGGGCGGGGGGGGGGGGAGGAGATACCTGTTGGGGCTACAACCTGACCAGGGTTTCAGACTGTAGGGCTGGGGGTCGGTGTTGTATACAAGCATCCCATATGGGTGCCGGTTTGAGTTCCAACTGCTCTGCTTCTGATCCAGCTCCCTGCTAACGCAGCGGAAGATGGCCCAAGTGCCTGGGCCCCTGTACCTGTGTGGGAGACCCGGAAGAAGCTCCTGGCTTTGGCTCAGCCCAGTGCTGGCTGTTGTAGCCGTCTGGGGAATAAACCAGCAGATGGAAGACCTCTCTGTCTCTCTCAGTCTTCCCCCACTCCCTCTCTCTATATATATATTCTGAACTTTCAAATATATCAATCTTTTTAAAAAATGATTGTAGGGTGACTCTCCCTGTGCCAGAGGGGAAAAGGAAAGGCAGCAGAATGCCCCACTGCACCCCGCTGAAAATAGCACAGAACAGCTGAGTGACATCTGTGTCCCCAGCCTCTGTCCCCACCAGCTGCGGAGGGCTCAGTCCTCGAAGGCTATTCCCTACCATCTCTCCACTGGGTCAGGGAGAATGTGGTTCAACCACAAAACTTGCCCTTTAGTGAGTGTTTGCTAGGGGTCTGGCCTAAGTCCCTAGGAAGAGTCTAACTCTTTCCCCGGAGCCAGCACTTGTTGGTCTCCCAACTCACAGACAAGCAGACTGAGGCCAAGGAAGAAATTCAGACATGTGTCCAAAGTTGAACTGAAGCTGGAATGGCTATGCAATGGAATCGAATGCTCCCATTCTAGGGGAAGACTCATCCAGTGTGGGCCAGCTCAAGCCAGCGGGCCCTGGCGCCCGCGGCCAGCTCTCCCAGTGCACTTCCTGGGTGCAGCTGGCCCAGCTAGCCATCAGAGTTTGGGGGTCATCTCTGCAGGGCTCCGCCGTCTCTCCGGCTCCGGAAACCTTCAAGGATGCTCCAACTGCCTCTGCCTTTCCCAATGCTGACCCCTATGGAACAGGAAGAGGGTTTCTAGCTCCTCACGCTGCCCACCCTCCCGACAGGTGCAGAGGGGGCGCCCCGTGGGGTCCTCGCAGGTGAGCCGGGCGGCCGGCGGGAAGCCTGTCACTTCCTTCCCACCACCCCCGCAGGCCGAGCTCTCGGCCTCGCGCGGCGAGACGTGGGCACTGCAGCCAGTCTGGGGCGCCTGCCGCTCGCCCAGGAACACGGACCTCGCGCTCCGGTTCCTGACCCCGAGACGGGAACCCACTGAGCCCCCCACCCCACCCCGTGCATGCACGCGCAGCAGAGAGCGCGCTGGAGGAGCCGGGGCCGGCCCTGGAGCCTCAGAAGCTCGCGGGTCGCCGCCTGCCGCCGAGTTCCACGGCCGGAGGCCGGAGCAGCCGGCCGATTTTTCACGCCCCCCAGACCGCCTCCCTGGGTGACGCTACAGTCTGTGCGGTTCCTTTAAAGGCTGCGGGTTCCGCTCTTCTTCCCTTTTCCACTGGATGCCAAAATATGCAAATCCGGAGACCGGAATCGGCAGCCAAATCGGGCAGGAGTAGGGGCGCGGCCGGCGCGTCACCGGATCCGCTCCTTGTATGGCTCTTCCCGGCTCGGCCCGCCGCCCCGCGACCCTCCCTGCAGCCGCCGGGGGGCCCCTCCCGCACCCAGCGCGGCTCGCACCGCCGCCCACGCCCCCCGACCGGCCAGGGAGGGAGCCGGGGGCGGGAGGCGCTGCATGCCCTGATTCCGGCCGGAGCCCGGGACCGCTGCGGCGCGCTGGCTCCCCGCGCCGCGCGGGCGGAGGCGAGCCGGAGGGCGCTGCGCCTCC